AGTCAACTACATAAGTGAAATTAAACGATTTGTTATGAAAGAATTGATCGACGTGTGGATGAAGAAATTAAACAAACGAATTGAAACATTAAAGGTATTGTACAAAGTACAAGTTATACGACACCAAATCAACAGCAAAACGGCGACAACGTGTTTGATCGTTTCGACTACGATAAGGCCACTGTCAACAACAACAAACGACGCCGGCCGCCCGACGCGGTACCATACGAACCGGAAGGCACCCGTTATCATGTCCATCCGGTTGTGCCGTTGAGAAAAATGGCGGCGGACATGAACGCCTGCCCTATATGTTGCCGTGCCGTTCTGACTTATTCTTATCACGCCTGAATACAATCCTTTCCCCAACATTACAGGTGTATTTTTAGAAGCTTTTAAATCATTAGTAGTTTAAACAATATTACTCGCTCCGGAAGCTAAAGATCCAACTGCAGTCAACTCGGCTGTGAGAGGTAAAATGGGTGAAAACCCTACAGATTGAGAAACAGCTTTTATTCTGGATACTGATTTTTTTTTTAAACTTTAGCCGTGACCTCTTAGCTGCAACTATCGCGATCATAGCCAGTTTAATCATACTTTTTTCTGTACTCTTTATAGCAGCCTTTTTTTGCTGCGAATACAGCCTTTTTAAATTGAACCCCCATACCTAACTTTCGTTTAGCCTTTATAGCAGTAGTAACTACCAAAAAGCGGCTTTTTCTTTAAGCCCAATGTCTTAAGATTTAACTAGTTAACATGTTCTTATTTTATTTTGTGACAGATTGTAAATATTCTGGAAAAGTTTTGTTTTTTAAAAAAAATAACAATAATAATAATTTTTAAAATATTGAAGTTTTATGGTTTAATTATAGTGTATTTTTAAAAGTTGATTTCAAAGCAAAAGTTATATTACATTATAGTCGCTTTGATTTTTTATCATAAACATATACTACCGTTGAACCGGATCAGTAAAGTCCCACTTAAAGCATCAGGTTCAGCTGCATCTGAAAGGAAAACTGAAGACTTAGCGGTAATTTATACTAGTTTTTTTAAAGCTATTAAGTTTTTTTCAATATTTTTCCGAATAATTTATTATGTAATGGGAACATATTTCCTAAATAGACATTCTCTAGGAAACTATTATTATTTTTGCTTGAAGACTTACAAATAAAATTCTAGTTATAAATACTTGTAGTCAAAATAATTTTCTAATAGTTTTTGTAAAAAAATGGTTTTAATTTATTAGTTTAAAGCAAGAGTCGTAACTTAATCATTTGAGTAAAATTCATTAAACATAATAAATTTTTAACCATACAAATGTATTAACTTTACTAATTTATAAATTACTAAGACGTTTTATCACTCATTGATTTAATAAATTAATATTTAGTATCCGTAAATCCGAACATTATTAGTAATTGAAAATGTTTGTTAACTTAATGTATACGTCTTGTGTTGTATAAAAAATAATGAATTTATGTCTAGATTAATTTGGTTGTTAAAACATTAAAGCTTATAATAGTATATATTTTTAAGTTATTTTATAGAGATTTTTTTTTAAATATTTCATTTATAATGTATAGGTTTGAAATAATATTTATATATTTTAATATTTTTGCTACATAGTGTTACATACATTGTATTGCTTTTCTGTTTAAATTCTAATCATCTTATCTATATCATTATTATAACTTGATTACATTAGCATTTGGAATACCAGCTACTATAGTTTAAATATTTTCTAAATTCATTAAAACCTATTTTTTTGTTAATTTTTGTTTTTTGAATTTTATTAGTAAAAAAATACAAAAATTAATAACTTACATTCCCCTTTCTCCCCCCAAAAAAAATAATACATAAGTCAAACTTACACTTTTACTTATATTTATTTAAAAAACTTTTATATATATATATTTTTTTTTTTATTGATTCTTAACTATCACGTATTTAATTATGTCTAATCGTATTTTAATTTTATATTATCATATTATTTATGGAACTAAACTTTGTTTTGATAAACAATGTTTAGGTGATAGAAAAGGCGTTCATGAATTGTAAAAACTGGGCAGGCTTTCCCCATGGAGAGACAAAAGGATGTATTTCAATTTTTGATTATTACTCGTACATGGGTGACAACGAAACAGAGTGGGATTTTATAAGACGATACTTAGATGAATATATAATAGAAGATAAAATAATATATTGTAAAAATTATTTACACACATTATATTATATTGTTTAACAGTATTTTTTTTTATCTTCGATGCAAAAATGTAAAGCATTAATTGGTTTTAAGAAATTATTTTCATTCAAAATACCATATTATGTGTAATATATTATTAAATATGTTCAGACCCAAAAGTATGCTTAAAAAAAGTAAAATTAGGAACAAAATTACGGCCCCTTCGTCCGGACTGAAATTTAGACATTTAAAAACACACTATTATAAAAACAATATATTTTCAACTGCACATCGAAGATAAAATAAATTATGTTATCAACAACTGCAACATATCATGCCCCTATGATAACATATATTTGTTATGGTTAAATTCAACGCCTTTAATTGGTGTTTTTTTTGTTTTAGTTTAAATAGATTTACCAAAATTGTATGCTCTTTTTAAAATGCATTATGAATTATCAGAAAAGCCTGTTGAAGTAATTGCTCAACAAAGAAAAGCCGCAACGGATAAAAAAGGAGTAGGTGAAGTGGCATTGGATGTATACCTCTGGAATTCTGCAAAACATAGAACTATAATAATGGTATGAGCTAGACGGAGATGTCATGTCTGAATAATATATTTATATGTTTAATAATGATAAAAAAAAATTTTACAAAATCTCTAACAGTGTTATTAAAAATTGTTTTCAAAATACAATACGTCATAACGACTCTAATAATTCCAAAATCTCTGTTTCTTTTTAAATAAATCACTTATTACATACTAGAAGAAAGAAGAAATAAAAATGACTATAATTTGTGTAGCAATTTAAAAAGGGACAACTTCGTAGAAAATTGCAACAGGTATAGTATTATTAAATAGGATATTTACATCATGGTTAATATAACTCATTACTATACCGTTTTTTTAAAAAAATTATCAGTCTGCTAAAAGTTTTATTCCTCCCACTCTGCCTCGAAATTTACGGAATATAATCTATTATATTTCTAAATCATGACAAAATGAAGTAGCTCATTTGAATGTAGTACATGGGTAGGGTATAATATGTGGGGTTATGATGCAAATGAGATAGGCTGGACAAAAAGAAGGTGTTTTAAAAAAAGAAAGAATAACCAATATGTTTTATAAACTAAATAAACGGTAGAATTGTATTATTAAACTATTACTATTGAATACGGAATACACTTTTAAATTAAAACTTAACTTTAAAGAGTTTCTGTAACTATAAAAGGTTCTGCTCTCTGAAAATGGTTTGAGATGACAACGGCAGCTGAACAGTCATTACTATCACCTTGAAGTCACCCTGAAGATGGACTCTACAACGTATGTAATTTATAATATTTAATTTTATTTTTTTGTATCTACAACCATTTAACGAGTAAAACAATTTATTTTTACAACGTATAGAGATTTCTTTAACTAGAATCCCAAATTTGAGGTTTCCAATTGATAATGTGTTAGATTTAATTTTATACAATGAACTTTCGTCGTATGAAAAGCGCAAGTATGTCATTTACTTTAAATTCGTATCGATATGGAATAACATAATACAAGTAATAATAATAATATACATACAAATTCATAATCACAGTCTTTGTACTCAGATTTTTCGTACTATTCAATGCGTTAGACAAACATGACCTCAAAGTTATCGTGTGCAAAAACACAATACATTTTCATTATTTTAGTGTCTTATTTTTTTAGTTTCGTAGAAATGAGAATAACAACACATGGGTAATAGCCCCCAAAAACACTTCTCTAAATCAATACACATCCATATAAACAATTTTACAACTTTGGAATTTAGCACACAATAATGCGTTGCAAACAAAATTTGAAATCGACATTCGTTTCAAATCAAAATATTATATAGGAATAATTTTCGTACCCGGCATTGTTCCTAATTAAATCATATTTAAGTCCATACATTGTGGTTGACCACAATGAAATTGGATCTTAATTTTATATAGTAGTGCAGAATTAGATTTATTTATCTATTCACTTAAAAACAACAGAGCAGCTGGAGAAGATAGAGAGTATATGCGGAGAATTTTTAAAAAATTAGTTCTGTTGATTTGACGGAAAGAACAAATTCCAAAAGAATAGGGAACGGCTATTATTTGTCCGATATTTAAAAAAAAATGATCCAAACGAGTAGTTAATTATAGAGGAATACCTTTACTGGATGTATGAAACTAAGTACTGACGTCTCTCTTGCTAGGAAGGTTACAAAAGTATGCAGGAGAAATTATGGCAGCTTCCAGTGTGGTTATAGCAAGGGGAAGTCAACCAAAGATTATATTTTTGCTATAAGATAGATCCTAGAGAAACACCATGAGTATAAAGATATTCACTTAGTATTTGTGGACTTTAAACAAGCTTACGATAATATAAACCGAACCAAATTATGGACTGCATAAAAGAATTTTGGAATTCCTAGAAAACTCGTAAGATTAATTAAAATGTGTAATAATACTACCAACAATATTTATAACAACATATTTTAAATCGCCATAGTTATATTATTTAAAGTCTCCAACGTTTAAACGATTTTGATTATTATTATATTTTGGGTCAAATAATATTTTACTTGAGTATTAAAAGTTTATGACAATTTTCAGTATTCCGAATTTATCTCTAAATAATAAACATTAAGACAAATTATCTATTAGAAATATAAACGATGAACCTGTCACCCAAATTTGCAAAGTCTTTAATAAAGGTAGAAAATAGAAATATAAGGAAAGGATTTAGAAGCAGAAATAAATATTTGGGATATATTAGATAAAAATATATAACTTTACTTATTCGGTAATTATTTATTTTATTGGTAGACATGACGTAAAACAAAAATAGACAGACAATATTATGTACTTAAAAATGTACAATGTGGAACATTTTATTGAAAAAATTGACCAATGTTTCTCTTCCCGCCAGCTTAAGTATATGTATAATATTTAAAAATTTCAGATAAAATAATGAATATAGTGATAATAATAAGATAAATTATAATATATTATGTAATAAACAGAATAAATATGTCTGTGTTTAACTAACGCTAGGTTAGGATGTGGGTGGAACTGGTGGATTTTCAAGTCCTAACAGTTCCCTGAGTGACTGGACATCATCTGTCCTGTATATCTTTTGAACATAATTTTTATTCGTGAAAATACATGTGCGGTTAGTTAAGTTAATCTGAACTGTTATTATGAACGATTTTGGAGTTTGTGCACTCAAGTATAATCCTATAAAATAACACTTAGAAGTTAAAGAGGCTTCATCTTCTACTGGCTGCACGGACCCATCTAAAAAATTTGAGAACCTTATTTTTTAATTTGCTTATACTAGCTTACTAGTTACTACTGTTCTTTATGGCGTAGGACACAACTATTTAATTTGTTAATACGAAGTCATAAAAAAATAATATATTAAACATGGTGTCCGTATTGTACAGACATGTTATTTGTATTACATGAAAGTACGTGTTAGTAGTTATTTGGTTAATTGTTAGAAATTAAAATCAGTTGTATCCTTGTTCCCATTAAATATAAATAATATATAAATATATAAATATATTAATAGGGTTAAAAAACCATACAGCTTCATTATAATATTTACCTAATACACGACGTCCGATTATATTGATTAAAGTTGGAACAATATATCTTCTACTTATGTCTCCGAATGTTTCTTCAGTATCTATGAAAATAATTGTGATATGACAGTGTTGCGAAGTAATAATAAAACTAAAAAATATTTTAGTTGCTCGTGATACATAACTATTTTTGTATTACGTTTCAAAGAATTGCGATACAACTATTTTTTTGTACAACCGCTTATTATTGTTGAAACTCTACAAAATGTGTATTCTTTTTATACTTGAAATCCCAAAAAATGTATTACACATCAATATTGTAGCCAACTTTGGGTTGATGAGGTGAACAAATATTCGTTTTTCTATTTAGTTTACAATCATAAAGTACAAAATAACACCGTAAATTGTTACTAAGTCTCACTATCCGTTCCTCTTTCCTCGGCGAAAATGTAGTTATATTAAAATTCTTATATGATATAAAAAATTAAATAAATAAAATGAAGCTAATATCAACTCTAAAACAAGCTTTTAAGGCCAATTCGTAATTACCTATATGTAATTGATACGGTCTTCCTGTAACAAATACATCAAACATCAAATCATTTTGCAGTTAATATATTTTATACGAAACATTCACTCTAAGCCACCAGTTGTAGGTTAATTAGAGTAATATTAACCAAGGCAAAATATTATTGTAAAAATGTTAATTTATATGTTATAGCGATGTTAAAATTAGTTAAAACTGTTTACATTTGTTTTAATGATCCTTAAAAGCTTAAACATAAAACATATATAGCTGTATGACTTAAAGTTATAAATCGAGTTTTTCATTAAAACTACAAAAATATATAACGATTTATTTTTTTACTTTATATTTACCTATTTTTTTTTCTAAATCTAGTAGCATTCTCTGAAGGAGAAAAAAGCCTTCTAAAATTTAAACAAAATACATTTTAATGTACCTACATATTTTTAATGATTGAAACTGATATGTCTTATTAGTATTTGTCAATAGGTACATATGATTATTCTCAAAGTATTTTTAAATAATAAATATGCAATAAATATAATAAATACGAAATATAAAAAGGTGTTTTTACTTTGAAATTTGCGAGTATTTGCGATTGGATATGCTGAAATTAAAACAAAAATGTTGATTGCATAAAGAATATCAAACAACTGTGTGGAAACGCTTTTATAAAAACCAATGACAGCTGTTATTACCCAGTATTCTTGAGATAATTTCTATTTTGTCTGAAATTAACAACACATAAATTAATAATATTGCGTTTAATTTTCTACTCGGTTATAAACAGGAAGACGAATTTCGAGGTAGAAAAAACATCTGTTTTAGTAACAAGGTAGAAATATTTTTCACTGTAAATGCAATACGACGATAGTCTCTTTGGAAAATTCAATAGGAAAGAAATTCTGGAAATGTTTTCATAAAATTCAACAAAAACTATTACCCGGTACAGCAATCAAAAAACAAATTTTGCCTGAAATTGACATTACATAAATTAATGATATTGAATTGGATTGGTTATAATAAATTATTACATTAAATAGTTATAAATTAAAAGACGAAATTTTAAGTAGAAAAATATATATCATTATGAAATGTAATGACCGAGTTGATGCTGTTTAGGTGATGAGAACAAATTATATTAATCAGTATTTTTTCATAAAGCTACTATTTAGATTTCTGTGTAAAATATAATAGTTATAACACTCATCAATTAGATAGAAATAAATTTGAGATGAAGTTTCAATATTTTTTTCTACTCAAGTCTTGATGTCTTTTATTATTATTATAATTATGATTACAGAAATCCTTGTAGTCAGGGTTACTAGTGGTATCATCAACCATTTTCTCAATTAAATGCTCCAAATTTTCTAGAAAATACAAATGACAATTTTGGTTGTACTAAAATTTTTAAATGATATTAAATTTGGTACCATACAAATGTTTAGAATAATATTAAACACGGCTTTGAGTAGTAGCCATTTAACTTTAACGCTTCTCTCTCGATTAGATTATTAGAAATCGCTACATAATTTTGCCCTGTACACTGTTGCGTACTAATACAATTAGATGGCGGCCTAGAACCGGTACGTTCATATTTTATGTTTACATCTTTGTTTTTTAATCATATTTAGTGTTATGTTATTTTTGACGATCCATCAATTGATCAATCCGCCCTTAGGCAAACGTCCTTGCTTATCTTTCTTTCCATTAATAATTCTTTATTTACAGCCGGCACTTTCTTACCGCTTTGTCACTTTGACAGAATTAACGGGCAAAAACATACACTCTTCTACATAATGTCTGGTGCACTTTTCTAAACTACTGATAAAAACTATAATTTTTAATTTACTAATAACTTGACAATTAGGTACTTATAACAATGCTTCTATTTTTATAATTATTTTATTTGAAATATAATATCTTACCTCGTCCAGATCTACCTCCTTCCGTTAAATCATTCGTTTCACAAAGAAACATGATGGCTTCAGCTGTGATATATATTTTAAAAAATATGTATAAAAGTAAAAACAGTGGATTTTAAAAACTTAGAAAATATTTGTTTATTAAATAAAAATTTTACTGACTTGTATTTTTAAAATACTCATAATAATCATCTGTAAAAAAGGAAACTATTAAATTTTTTTCAAATTTTAACTACCTTCAGTTAATAACTGTGAAAATAAAATAATTACCACCATCATCTGCCAAAACATCAACGAAGAAAAAAAATATTAATAAACAGAAGAGTTTCATTTTATCTGCGAATAATAACAAACAAAATTGTTTATTAGTCACCGTTGCCTTCGGTGCAGAGATGAGAAGGTTAGGTTAGGTTTGGTTTATGGTATTGTGTGTATATATAAATATACATACATATTTTTACCAGACCTATAATATTTCCTAGACCGTTACACTGTTTTTTTTTTTGTAAAGGAATATAGAAATCTAACTTTTTTGGCCAAAATTACAGTTGTGAAACCTTAATGAAGATAGACAAAAATAAAAATAAGTCTTTTAACTATTTAAATTGCATTGTATAAAAAAGTTATGTTACACTATTCAAAATAGAAATTAGAAAAAAACATTTAACTAAATGTTGTTATTAGAGTTAGATTTTATGAAGTTATATTATTCACTTAATTTTCAAGCGTCTAAACTTGACTACACATAATGCTTCTTAGTCAACCCGTATTGAAATTAAAGCGAACATATTTATTAGTTTATTGTAAAAAGAAGATAACATTTTATAAAGTATGTCGTATACGTTATTAAAAGTTATTGAATTATCTTTACAAATAATTAATACACTAAGATGTAGTGAAAAAATTAAATTTTATAAATCGTTTTCATAATAGGGTGAAGGCAGGTATTTTCGTGGCATAAGCAATTTCGTGATATAGTTTGTTGATCGTATCGCGTAATTCCCTATTAGAAAATTGTCTTGAAAATCACACTGATTTTTAAAACACAGTTATTTTAACAATCAGTGTGATTTTCAAGACAATTTTTTAATAGGGAATTACGCGATACGATCAACAAACTATATCACGAAATTGCTTATAATACGAAAATACCTTCCTTCACCCTAACTCACAAAAGTGTTGCTACTTTTCATAGTATAATAAAAAAAAATCTCGTCCATATCAAAAAAAGAATATTGAGCAAAATGATTTAGATTTTCCATTATAACCCATAAATAAAATGTTATTTTTGGAGGGTATTCAATTTTATCACTTCTATTTATAATAATTCCTGTAGACCTGTGACCTTTCCGTCTCCTCGTTGCTTTAATTCCATTATGCCTGTACTCTACTGTACTAGTCCTCTCGGATAAAATCACTTTTAAATAACCGCTTTGATGCTTGTTTGTAAATTCAGAACCTCAATTTATTACTTTCTAAATTTGCTGGTTTATACTGCGCTTGGTTTGGACTGTACTGGCTTGAAAATACTAACTACAGATTTGCATCGAAGCGTTTTTTCGAAAGTGATTTTATCACATTCAGATTTGAAAATTCCTGTAAACCTGTGACCTCCCCGTCCCCACTATGCCCCGCTCCCACTGTACTGGTTTTGACATTTTTATGTCTTTGCTATGGCACACACATGGAAAATCGACATCGACACCGCTTATCATAACGACACCGGTTATCATAACGAAAAATAACAGCTGATTTACCTGTTTAGATAAGAGAGAAAACAGATAACATATAAAAGATATGGTTTTTACTTTGGAACACAACCGGAAGAGAGATAAGAGATTAGGGAAGGGGTGAGAGTTAGGGGATGAGAGTTAAGGGGTGAGTGTTAGAGGGTGAGATTTAGGGGTGAGAGATGAGGGTTGGGGTGGTGTGGGAATGGGAGGGGCATATATGTTGTATTCACAACGTACAAAATAGGAATGAATAATAAATTCAATAATTTAAGGGGCCAAATTCTCTATGAATTGTTTTGGGCCAGATATTATGAAAACACTAAAATATTAGCCAGAAACTTGATATGTTTACTAGCCACCTTAGATACATAAAAATGTATCCCGCGGTGTTGCGGACTCGTACGCAAGATATATAATAGTTTTTTCATCTCTGTACTGTTGAAACTTTTTGAGTTATGATGGAAAATTTAAATCATTTTGCTGAATGTGGTTTCTTTGACTTGGGGTGGACGAAATATTTATAATTATTATTATTATTTTTTTTTTTATCTTGGTTGTATTCACAAAAAATCACGATGTGAATGTTTTTTTGTGAATAAATTTGTGTTAAGATCGTCTAAAATAAAATTAAAAACATGCAAAACCCGTTTTTCTAAATTTTTAAAGTTAATAGTAAAGTTTTTTTGAAAATTGACAAAATTGTTTTAACGAGGAATAAAAAAACGGATGATGAAAAAACAATTTTATATATTTATATTAGATTTATAATGTGTATGTTTCTTGTATTTATATAAGAAATTATAAATTATAAGTGATTTCTAGTTTTATTATAATTTTTTTTTTATATGGAAAATTTTTTTTTTTTTAAATTTAAGTCGAAAAAAAAAATAGAAACTTATATTTGCATGTTATTAATTTAAAAAAAAAATTAAGCAATTATAAAAAATTTTTTGAAAAACCAAATTGTACATGTATATGAATTTAGTTAGAAAAAATATATAATTTATTGAGTTGCTACTCGAAGAAATAACGAAAAAAAAAACCTATTTTTGAATTTTCTCTAAAATGTGGATTGTGTAAAACCATGATTAGGAATCGATAAAAAAATAACTAGCAATAAAAAATCCTTATTACGATTTTTTAACACATACATTTTTGCCAATTTTGGTTTCCGCGTAATTACAATTTTTATAGTTTAACAGAAATACTTACTTAAGTTGTGGAGTTGGTAAGAGGTTCTTGGACAACAATCGACTTGATCAGCTTTTGAAACTAAATGTACTACTTGCGACTCATAGATGGGCTCTTACTTCGACCGAAAAATCACAATCCACATATTTTTTTGCAGTGTAAACATTATGTTCATTTATTTACACAACTCGTTCATTTTTTTTTTTTTTTTTTTGAGGGACTTTTCGTGTACACACATTGCTTAGGAAGCGGAGTTTAGACTATGATTTTACACACAATACACGCCTAATGCAAAAAAACAAAACCAATCGCTTGAGTTCTAAAAAACATTAAAATTCATTTTAATTATATTCGCTTTGTGCGATTTTGTATTATATTTTCCATCGACGCGTATCATCGTGTCGCTTTAATCGGGCCATTATATTTTCTATACCGGTATTTATTTTACAAACAGCTGACAGTGTTATCTGGTATCAAGAATTTATCATTGAATAAAATCACCATTCTTGTACATAGAATTATATATGAGCATCGTTAAAGTCCTGTTCGATAGGAGTCATTGTCCCTTGTGGGTTGCAAACTGCAACTTTCAATTACGATATTCTATTATATTTTAAAGAACATAAGGTGATTTATACAATTTGTGTATTTGGATTTTTTTTCGCCATGTTTTTTTTAGCTTATTTAGAATTTGTTTTTTACACATTTTTATAAACGAACAAAATTGCAATCACAAATAGTAGAGATTTGAACTCCAGTATTTTAACAGTTACGCATAAAATCAACTTGTTCCTATAAATGATTGAAATACTAATAGATTTTTCTTAGAAATAGTATTTTCAATCAATAATCTGCTAATCGGTGACTTATATAGTACAAAGGGGACGTTAAAAAAAATATATATATGCTCTAAAATTAAAAATGGCCGACTTACGGTCAAAAAGATTTTTTTAAATGGAAACCATGTATTTTTTGTTAACCAAACAAATGTCCTTATCAAAGCTAACAACTTTTGTAGGAAAAAATTGTCGGTAAGACCCATAATTTAAATGGAAAACCCAATAATTAGTAAATTAAGTCTCATTAGCTGTTTTTAGTTTGTGTCATGTGCGGTAACCTTGGTATAAGTAATGTTAAAATTTTTAATTTCTTATTAAACCCTATGAGATATTGAGTGGTTCACGATATGTGGATCACCTGTACAATATATTATTTTATTTTCATCTTTTCTAATATAATTTTTATTTTTTTACATAATCAGTTTATAATTTATGAATTTAGATACATTTAATTTGTATTTTTCATTATAGATTTATTCCTTAATGAATTTTTTTTTTTTTAAACATGATTCCTGCTCGTATTTTTTCGACGTTTGTATCTTTTATGTAGTTGATCTCGAGTGAACCTTCACCCCCATTCTATCTCAAGTACGTTTTTTGGTTTAATATCTGGGATTTTTTTGCTATTGGTCAAGAGTTCATCACCTTTAAATTCTACGGTAAATTAGGCTTACCTGCATAACCATTGTCATAAAAGTAAACGGTTCTACTACTATTCTGACCGTTATCTGCATACTTATGTTACCATGGTCAAACTACACACGTGTCATCTTTATCTTCTTCGCCTTTTGGACAATTATCGCTTAGCTGGAATCACTGTCATCATCATCCGACAACCGAAGTATCGGCTAAAATGTTAATAATATAATCTTAAAAACCATGTAGCCATCATAAATTCAAATACAGAATTTATGGGGGGGGGGGGGGTTAATTGAAAAAAACGAGACGGTCGTGTGCACAATAATAAACTCTAATGGACGGGATGCCTATATGAATATAGGCGTCTATAGATATATTTTAGTAAAGAAATAATAGGATAATATCAAGCTGGATTCATGATAGGTAGATCAACGGTTGATCAAATCCATATAGTTAAACAATTAGCAGAGAAAAGTCACGAGTTCAATAAAGATGTGCACCTTATGTTCATAGATTACAAAGCAGCATTCGATTTGATTAATAGAGAAAAGCGATGGAAGTTAGAAGTGTTTGAAAGAAATATATAAAGGAAAATCTTCGGTTCAAAGAGAAATAACGATGGAAAGTATGAAATAAGAACAACAAAGAATTGGATAATCTTTATAAAGAACCTACCATTATTGGGACCCTAAAAAGTACGAGGATAAGCTTGGCAGGACACGTTTGGAGGTCCGAAGAAATAATTGGTTTAATAGCTAAATGGAAACCCAACACTAAGTGATCTAGAGGACGGTCTGGGCAGAGATGGGTGGATAGAATACAGCAATACTTAATAATAATAATAATCAAATTAAATAATAATCTAAAACTGGTTCTCGAATATCAAAACTTAGTAGTATCATTCTGAACAGATTTAAATAAAATTATTGTAATTATTTGATCACACTTTTTTAAGAGTTTAGGTGTTTTTGTTAAAATATACGAAATCTGCGAGGCAATTAAAGAAAAACTGTTGTCCCGGATTTTTGCTTCGTTTAATATGTTATGGACACATATGAGATCTAACTACTGACAAATTTACAACTAAAAGGGTATAACATTACGGTTAAAAACACAAAGAACAAAACAATTGCACCCTCCCCCCCTCCCCCTAGAGGGATTGGAAATTAGTATAATTTGAATTTGATATAACTGGCGTGTGCGAGCATACCAAATAATAATTCCTTATAAATTTCAACTCGATAAGACTGTTTTTCTCGAAATTATAGCCAGTAAAAGTTCTAACTCGTAGGATATTTTTTTTTTCAAATTTCGACTGAGAAGAAGTTATTTATTTCAACTTTTACCCCTTCCCCAAAGTACCAACTAGATGAAATTTTTGATTTCTAGAGTTCCTGCTCGAAGGAATTGGGTCAGTACTAAAAAAGTTACAGTGTATGTAGAAAAAAAAACCATAGTGGTTTAACCATCTCTGCCCCGCATCGAAGCTAAAGATCAACTAGGAAGACTATAGGTTGAACATATTATATTTAAACTAACTTCAATAAAGTTATTGTTAAGATATTAGGTGATAAATCCAGCTACAGTCAAACACCAAAAATTAAAAAAATCTTTAATTCTAAATATACTACTTACAAGGCCAGACAATGATGTAACTAAACATTTTTAATGGCACATAATAAATAATTATTGAGGGTACAGAATATCTAAATTTACCTAATTTAACTAATTTTCAATTAACTATAGCATTTAAACTGTATTTAACTTTGTTTCCGTAGAATATCAATTTTTTTTAAATAAACAGAGGCATAAAAATAATAAATAATACTATATAGTTATTTTTAAGTGGATTTTTTTTTTAATTATCCCCAAAATTACTTGATTAATAAAAATCAATTATATTAATTATTTTAAGTAAAAATATGAGCTAGAATATAACAATGAAAAAAATAATCATGGGTAATAGTTAAACTAAACATGATTGAATAAAATAACAATCTTCGAAATATTAATTTTTAAATGAAATTAACCACGTATAATAGTTAATTAAATAATTATTCGTATGGTCATTAATGGTAACATAAATAGTCTACTTGTATTTAAGATACAACTTATTTTTTTCAATGTCCATATAAATTATTTAACCCGAAAAATAATCATGTAACACAATCGTTTACTGTGTAAAAAATATTGTTTATATATTTTATTCATAAAAGTTTATACCATCTGTATATTATAAAACTGTATCCCGCACATTTTGTTTTTTCGCTTTAGTGTGTGCGCCTATTAATAATATAGGTTTACGTTAAAAAATTCAAAGGTCATAACAATGTCATAAGTTGGCGATATTTTCGAATCACACATCAAATGTAAGGTTTCTTTCGCACAGATGTGTCGGTATATTCTTTTGTAACAATATACAACAGTTAGTATACATGTGAATCGTTTAACGAAATAAAAGTTGGCAATTTCACACAAATATAATATTGTATCCGCTCGACAGCAAAATTCGTGTTAAAAAAAAATGCAAAAATAAAAAAAAACCAGTACAGTGGAGACGGAGTATAGTGGCGACGGGGTACGATTGGGCGAGGGGGGGAATAGGTCTACATGAATAATTGCAAGTTGAAAAGCATGTACATTTTTCGGGTGTTTTTGTCGATATAAAAAATCAAGGACAATCGTTTTTTGTGTTTACAAGTGCGGATCTATAGCCCTTTAAATATTGTAACGACTAAAGTTCAAATTTCTACGAATAAAAAACTGCCGCACTTACAAACAATAAACGAACACGTAGGTATTAAAAATAATTGCTAGATACTTCTAAGTGGCATGTATACGTACTATGTATAAAAGAAAAAACCCCACAAAAATTTGGAATTATTGGAAATATTTCTTTGGAATATTTCGTTTCTTTTTTAAATTATATAATCTGTACAAATAAATACAATAAGCGTTAGTGTTAATTATAAGTAAAAGATAGTGGCATGGTTAGCTTGTATAGCGAAGCCGCCCACTGACTGATACTCTTATGAACTTGATTTTTTATTAATTATGAGAGAGATGTTCTCTGCACCACTTTTTTTTTTAATCGTTTATGTAGATTGTTGGGCATCGAGGGTAACGTAAGGTCATTTACAAGAGGGTTTGGATGGTTTTTAAATGATTCGAAAAAATGATATCCCTTTTGCGTCGTTGGCTCTTACCATCGAGTTATTGTCTACACTCTATGTAAATAGTCATACACAGTGCTTAAATTGTTATTTAGACAGTCGACAATCAAAATTTAATGGATCTATTGTGCTTGGTTCAAACTGTACTGGTTTGGACTGTGCTTTCAGTTTTAATAATGTGCTTTGACCCAACTTTACATAGTCTACATATGGTTCGAAAATAATAATAAAAAGTAGTGTACGATGATGAAATTTACATAGTCAACGTACGCTTAAACGTAAACTTAAACTTCAACGTACCCAAAACTTTGTAAAAATAAAAGAATATATAAAAAATAATTTCAACCTTTTTACGGTTGAATGGTTAATGAGATATATTATTGATTTGTCAGTCCTGGATAGATTTGGACGATTTTCTAACCTGATATTATAGAAAACCATTTGGGTATAAATTTCAACAACATAACGGAAGATTTTCAGTGTAGTCAGCGGTCTAGTGAACACACGCTGAACAATTCGTTTTATAATATATCCTAGAATAACCGAAAAGAAAAAACTTTACGAAGCCGATACATAATTATTGAAAAGTTAAAACCATTTATGTGTGATAATATTATATACTTTTTGCATAACTAAAATATAGAACTATAAAATAAGGTACATAATATATTATTTTACTTTCATAATTTTTATTACAATTTTTATTTTTTTTTAAATAATCAATTTATAATTTATGAATTTAGATAAATTGAATTTGTATTTTTCATTGTAGATTTATTAATTCATTATTTTTTTTTTCTTTTAAAAATCATGATTCCTCCTCCTTGTATTTCGTTGACGTTTGTATATTTTTTGTAGTTGATCTCAAGTGAACCTTCACCCCATTCTATCTCAAATACTTTTTTTGGGTATCAAAAAATGTCTGCTTATCCAAACAATATAGTGGAAGAGAAGATGTTTAGGCTTTAATATAATAAGTATTGGCAATATGCAGCTCTACGGGGGTGTATATTATGGGCAATTTATAAATATTAGAAATTAGGATGCACCGAGTCATACCATGTTTTGCCACTTTGTGAGGTACCTTTTTAAAACTTATCAGTATAATCAAAACAACAATTACAAAAAGTGATATAACAACTTCTGCCATGCTACCGCAGAAGTATGGTCTCAGGTTTAAACCCGCACAGTATTATATACAAGTATAAAACATTGGAAGACTTTAGGTTAAACATATAATTGAACTAGCTTCAAGAAAGTGGTTGGCCATTCGCTTGGTCTTGACGCCTTTAAGTACAACATAATATAGAGCTGTAGAAAATGGTGTTTTTTATATGTAGTTTATGACATGTAAAGTTTATGATCGTACACGATATTTATGTTATTTGCAAACCACATGTTCACAAAAATTTTGCGTGGCACGTCGAAAACAGGCTGGATTAATAAAAATTTAGTATTGTGTTGGAAAGATCCGTTGTTACACCCGATCTAGTATTTAGGTATTTTGAGCGCACGGTACCTTAAGGTTTTAATTTTTACTTACTTATCATTGTACACTTCTTAGTCTTTCATATTTTTTTCTCTCGAGTCTCTAAGTAACTCACATCGGACACTCGGACATTTCGTTCTTCTAAACTTCAGAACCAACGATAAACCAATAAACCTTTAAGCATAAACCTTTAATATGTCATGCTGCGTGTACTTCCGATGATTGAATTCTAAACGTACAGTACTTGGTGGTTTTTGAAAATATTAGGATTCCAATCCGACCATAACATATAGGAGTATGTAATAATATACTAAGTTTGAAAGAGTGTTTTATTTTTGCATTATCACATTTATTTATACTCACACGTACCAACCAGACATTCGGTATTTTGTTTCTATGTGTTATTTTATTATGAGTGTATGGTATAATTTTTGCATTACTAAACAATAGAATTACAAAATACGGCATTTAATATATTGTTTTATTTTCATCTGTTTTATTACAATTTTAAATTTTATTATTTTTTTATATATAATCAATTGTAATTTTTGAATTTAGATAAATTGAATTTGTATTTTTTGTTGTAGATTTATGGCTTCTTGAACGTTCAAAAAACCAAGGTTCCTGAACCTAGTATCCCAGTGAATGCTGGTTGACCTATCCCGTTGACACTGAGTGCACTGTTGCCCCATACTATCACTAATGGCCTGACAGTTGCGTTAACTCCTTCGACTTCGATATCGCCGATGAAGAGTGTATCACCTTGAAAGTCCAGAGGTGAACCGTTTATATGGACATTAATATTTCCTGAAACGTTTTCAATAGGTAAATACATTTTGATAAAAGATATAATAATAATACGACCCCAAGGCTAAATTACACTCACCATTTACATTACCAAAGTTATTAAACTGGAAACTTTCATTGTTATCGGTAGTCATCGTCCAGCTTCTTGGAATAGCAGACCTGGATGAGCCCAATCTACTCCTATTAGCTCGGGGTCTTTGAATGTTTGCATTGGTTGGTTCTTGTTCTCGTGATTTCGTTTGGAAACTTTGAGTACCAGTGTTATTAATCTGCACACTATTATAAAACTTCGATGAATGCAATCCACTGCTACTAGCTCCGTCTTCTTGAATGTTTACATTAATTGGTTCTTCTAAATCGTGAACGTTTTCAATAAGTAAAATTTCACGATAGCTATGATAACATACTATTTGATCCCGAGGCAAAACTAGACTTACCTTTATTATTCCTTTTATAATAGGTGTTCACACGTCCATTACCCTGATTTAAGATTTGCGTACCACCTGTATTAGACACTCTATATGTAACATTGTCGTCAAGGTAAGGGTTATGTTCTTCGCTAATTGGCTGATCTTCAATACCAGTGTTAATATTCTGTAAGTTATTAAACTGGAAACTTTCATTGTCATCGATTAAGCTGGCCCCGTTGTCATCATCATCGGAAGACACTATTGGAATATCTTCTGAAATTTTAATAATATAACCTTAAAATTTACGAAGCTATCACTCAATTATGGTAAAACACAGTTTAATAATTCAATTATATTTAGCTTCGATGTGTGGCTGAGGCGGTATTAGTTTTAAAATGGTTCGTTTTACTTAAGACAAGTTATATGTTGGAAATAATTCTATAGTAATTTATTAGTTGTTTTTTTTACAATATTATACATTTCCCAATAAACCAGTTGAAATTTCCTAAGGATTAGTCTCAACAAAAAGTGAACGAAATTATGCTGCGATTTTTTTTTTTTGACCCTCGAACAAATTAAACAAAACTATAAATCGGGCATATTTTATTGTGTAATAATCTAAATGAGTAATACTTTTGTTTTCGTCAAGTGGTTCACTCGGTTCACCGGTCTGGATTAAATGGGTACCGTTGTCATCATCATCCGGAAACTTCAATGTAATACCGTCTGAAATGTAATTATATAATTTTAAAATCGACGAAGCAATCACTCATTTATTTATTTATTTATATTTACGGGCAAAGCCCTTTACAACAATTTAACACAGGACAATACAAATTCAGATACTATATAAGTTTAAACATGATAATAATTCAATAATAGTAATAATAATAATAACAGGTAATATAAATTAGTAATAGTAAAGTGGACAAAAAAAAATAATATTAAAATAATATATTATGGTAAATGGTACTCTCATTGACCTGCCGCATCATGCGATCAATAGGATTATTTTTGCCATAATTTGTAGTGTGCGTAGAAACTAAGCATGGGACATGGTGTCGAATAGTGCGGGAAGGGACCTTGAAATTGACCAATACAAGAAGTGAGGGAGCATCAAAGCGACCATCCACAAGTTTTTTCAAAAACTCTACGTTGGTGTTAACTCTCCTGTCTGCTAATGAGACGAGACCTAATTCCTGCATAACTATAGAGTAGTCGTGGGGAGGATGTTTTATTTTTAATGTAAAAGCTGCGCAAGATAGGAATCGTCTCTGAACACGTTCTAATTGACAGGAGTCCGCTAACGTATAAGGGTCCCATAGGACAGATGCATAATCTAATAAGGAACGGACCAAGGAGCAATAGATTGTTTTCAGAGAAGAATATAAATTAAACTCTTTCGAAATACGTATTACGAACCCAACCGTTTTTATAGCTTTGCAACATAACATTTCAATATGAGAGTGAAAATTCAGGTCAGTATTAAAAATAATACCTAAATCTTTCTTACTACTGACAGATGTCACATTAGAACCGTTGATTGCTTACGTATAACTGATAGAGGAGCGGTGTTTAAAAAATGACATGGAATGACATTTATTCACATTAAACTGCAAACCAATAGTATTAAACCATGCAACCATGTTGTTTAGGTCCTCCTGGAGCGCAGAGCAGTCAGATAAGTTTTCAATTTTCCTAAAAAGTTTTAAGTCATCAGCAAACATGAGAAATTCACAATTTTTGATAACCCCTTTGATGCCATTTACATACAGTGAAAACAAGATCGGGGATAGATGTCCTCCCTGAGGAACTCCAGAAGAGACTTTAGAGATGGAAGATTTACAGCCGAATACTTTAACCCATTGAACTCGGTCGGATAGATAGGACTTGAACCACGACAGCAGTGGTTCGCCAAACCCGGACTTGTATAGAGCATCAATTAGGTAGCCATGGTCAACTCTATCAAAGGCTTTTGCAAAGTCTGTGTAAATAACGTCTACTTGGATGTGCTTTTCAACAGCCTCCATAACAAAGTTATTAAATACCATTAAATTCATAGTGGCCGAGCGACCAGGTCTGAACCCATACTGCTCGTCGATTAGAATTGAATTAACAGAAGATTGAATATTTCTCAATACCAGTTGTTCGAAAAGTTTGGATATGTGGCACAAAATTGAAACTGGTCTATAATTTTTGACATCGTTTTTATCACCCGATTTAAATATAGGAGTGACAGAGCTAATCTTAAGGATAGATGGGAAAACTCCACAATCAATGGAACGCCTAAAAAGTAGCCACAGTGGAAAACATAGTGAAGATTTAATATTGTACAAGAAAATACCTGATAAGCCATCTGGGCCTACTGACTTTATATTTTTTAGGGCATCTAGGCCATCATCAATATCATCGATGCTGAATGAGCAAGTGCTAGGCAGGTCATGGCACAGGAATGAAGATGGAGAGTCAATAGATAATGGTGGAACATAGACTGAATTAAAGTATTGGGAAAATAAATTCGAAACTGACTCATTGACCGAACTTTTTATGTTCTCAAAATGCACAGTGTGGGGAATCTCATTGCTTGACTTATGAACTCGGACAAAGTCCCAAAACGACCTAGGATTAGATTTTAGCATAGACTCAGTACGAGACAAGAAGGCAGTATGGCATTTCTTATACTCAGCCTTGTAAGAAGCTCGAAGTGTAGAGAATTCTGTATAGTCAAGGGGGCAGTGTGAAGTTTTAAACTTTGCATGCGCTCGTTTCTTACTAAAAACAATATGTTTAAGATTACTAGAAAACCATTTCGGAAATGTGGAAGGTACGTAAGACCCTTCTGGAACAAAGTTTAAAATGCAAAAGTGCATTTGCTGCCTTATCGACATCTAGAGACATTATGGTCTCTAACCAATTAAATGAATCTAGAAATTTACAAATTTCTGTATAGGGAGCATGGCGGAAGTCGAAATAATTATGGGAACGATCTAATATAGGGGAAACATTATCCAATTTTACCATAATATCAAGAGCCGGGTGGTAAGAATCGCAAGGCACCGCGGAGTTTTCAGCTTTTAAAACATAGATTCTTTTGTCGTTGGAAAGCACTAGGTCCAAGATACCACCAAAAGAGTTAAGAATGTCATTGAGCTGGAAGAAGTTATAAAAAGCAAATGCTTCAGGGATACATTGTATTCTAGGATTTGAAATAGAGTTGTATAATAAACCAAAATCGTCATTGGACCATTTCACATCTGTCAAATTGAAGTCAACGCAAAATATGAAAACACAATCTGGGTGAAGGAGAAGAACGGATTGCACAGTGGACATAAAAGCCTCGTAAGCCGAAATCAGGCAATTAGGAGGAAAGTAAACAGAGCACACAACATAGTTGGTATGATTATAACTAAATTTAACAAAGACATGTTCGACATTAATCGCAGGATTACAAATTAAATTAGATACGACATCATTGCGGATGGCGATGAGAGCACCACCACCTCTTGAAAAACTACTTGTTAAGCTAGATCTGTCACATCTATATACAATATAGTTAATTAGACCTAGTTCATTGTCATAGAACCTATTACAGAGCCATGTTTCGGTGAAACAAATAAAAATATAGTCAAAAACAGCAACATTACATTTTAAAATACTTAATTTGGTTCTTAGACCCCGACAATTTTGGTAATAATCTAAGAGAACGCGGTTACAAGTACATAAATCACTACATAGACAATAATCCTTATTATTAAAGTTATTTCCGTGTACATCAACAGTAGGAGTAGAGATAGACGAACATGAAGATATTAGTTTTTTCGAGTGGAATTTAGAATCATCTCGGGGGTAAGACGACCCCAGAAGCGTTTGACCATTACGCCATCAGGCCAGAATGCAGGTTCGAGGACCTCATCAAGCTTCTCCGCGGGCAAGCGTACGTGGAATGAGGAGTATGATGGGTGTCTTGTTACCATTTTATTAATGGTCACTTCTGAGTAGCTATTGAATAATTCAGATTCAAGCATGGTAGACGTAACGCATGGATCAAGTCTCGAGACAAAAATATCAGCATGTTTCCGCACGGGAACTGAAGACAGCTTAGAGGACGAGTTTTTATGAGAACCGACGATGAATCTTGGTTTTAAGGCCGAAGGCTGATTATTGGTCAATTGGTTTCCGGGCTGTCTAGGACGAGAATCCGCATCCAGCTTCGGGTGAACAGTAATTATTGGCAAATTTTTGGGTTCTGCATTCGATTTGGAAGCAAAGGTACCACTTGTTGACATATTGAGACGGTTCAATTTGTCATGTAATTTAGAATTACTGAGTGCCACAGATTTGAGCTCTTCGACAACGGATTGTAGAATGGAGGCTACATTTATTGGATTTTCAGGTGAAATCGTTATCGGGTTAGAAGAAGAATTTTTTAAAAATAGTGACAAGTCTTCACTAAATTTAACACCAACAGGTAAAGATTGCGTAACAATGTAGTCAACGAGCATATTTTTTGTCCACTTATTTAGCTCTGCAGAAAAGAGATCATTATTTTGGGACATTATGCGTTTACGGTTATCGTTGGTAAAGTAGGCAATTAATCAAATATGACGCCTTGAACAATGCAGATAGGCCAAATAATTTGCACAACAAGTATGATGATAATAACAATAAATGGTGGCCTTGACACGTGCCGGATTCAATCAGAAATAGCAGTCACGGGTTGCAACTGCTTATCTGAACCGATAGAAGCCGTACTTTACTGATAAAATTTAGTTAAATTTAATATACCTTTCCACTATGTAGTTGAAGGCAAATTAAAAAAACTGACATTGAGTGATTAGGTATTAAGCAGACTGACTCAACAACGACACCAGTCTGTACACGCACTTATTATGAACTTGACGAACTTAAAAAGTAAAAAAACGGGTAATTTGATCCAAAGTTACAAAGAATAGAACACGGAGCGATATGAACGTGCGTGCGTAGATAATGTCTCATATACCAGTGTTATTAATCTGCACACTATTATAAAACTTCGATGAATGCAATCCACTGCTACTAGCTCCGTCTTGTTGAATGTTTACATTAATTGGTTCTTCTAAATCGTGAACGTTTTCAATAAGTAAAATTTCACGATAGCTATGATAACATACTATTTGATCCCGAGGCAAAACTAGACTTACCTTTATTATTCCTTTTATAATAGGTGTTCACACGTCCATTACCCTGATTTAAGATTTGCGTACCACCTGTATTAGACACTGTATATGTAACATTGTCGTCAAGGTAAGGGTTATGTTCTTCGCTAATTGGCTCATCTTCAATGCCAGTGTTAATATTCTGTAAGTTATTAAACTGGAAACTTTCATTGTCATCGATTAAGCTGGCCCCGTTGTCATCATCATCGGAAGACACTGTTGGAATATCTTCTGAAATTTTAATAATATAACCTTAAAATTTACGAAGCTATCACTCAATTATGGTAAAACACAGTTTAATAATTCAATTATATTTAGCTTCGATGTGTGGCTGAGGCGGTATTAGTTTTAAAATGGTTCGTTTTACTTAAGACAAGTTATATGTTGGAAATAATTCTATAGTAATTTATTAGTTGTTTTTTTTACAATATTATACATTTCCCAATAAACCAGTTGAAATTTCCTAAGGATTAGTCTCAACAAAAAGTGAACGAAATTATGCTGCGATTTTTTTTTTTGACCCTCGAACAAATTAAACAAAACTATAAATCGGGCATATTTTATCGTGTAACAATCTAAATGAGTAATACTTTTGTTTTCGTCAAGTGGTTCACTCGGTTCACCGGTCTGGATTAAATGGGTACCGTTGTCATCATCATCCGGAAACTTCAATGTAATACCGCCTGAAATGTAATTATATAATTTTAAAATCGACGAAGCAATCACTCAATTATAATAATACATAACAGTTTAATTCGATTTTTATAGCTTAGATGAGTGTTGACACCTTATATGTTGAAAATAATTCTATAATAATAAATCCTATATGATTTGACCCTACTATATCCCCGACCTCATTGAATTTTTTTTTTTATATCAAATCTTTTATTATATATAGTTACCTATTGTTGGTGGAACCTCACCACCGCCACATCTGAAAAGCAAACGTCTATATTTAAAACATAAATTAATACACGAAAACTCCAGATTTTGTAAAATAATCCCTAACGCTTTTAAAAAATAATTAGAAAAAATACTTACGCCACGTATGCTGCCAGACCAAGCAAAAGAATAATTTTAATAATAATCATATTATTAAGTGTTATAATATACTGTTGAATCCGACTATGATCAAATATTCACCGTGTTCAGTACTTGTAGAACGAAAGTCAACGATTGACTACAATTGGTTGATACAAAGTACGGTTTGCGGACGGTTTGCATGTATTGTTTGCACTAGCAAAATACATATTTACACCATTATTTTTTTTCAAGACAACAAGAATGTTATGAACATTATTTTCCATAATATTTTACGTCTATTCATTGCCGCGTGAAATATTATAATAAAATAAATATAAAACACTTAAATAATATCGAAATAAAATAGTGAATATTATTATTTTAATTTTAAAAGACTGCTGAGCAATACTGTCGAACAAATTTGTTTTTGAACACATTTAAATACTAAAAAGAAAACCATTACAGTGGGGCCGGAGCATATTAGTAACTTAGAACTGGAGGACCAGTGTTCTCTTATAAAAATTTAAATACAGCTAAAGGCATTGTATCTAATCACAATTTTGAGCTTAGAAATGAATTTTAAGTATTAGAGTGTATACGATTAGTGTTAATTGTCTGTCTATAAAAATGTATTTCCATAGTTACTCATATATCGTAAATACTAGCATAATAAAACAAAAATTACACTGTTTGTTGACTGTTGATTCACTCACACATAGCAACCTTGAAATTGACAAATTGTAAATATGTATTTTCCCATTTTTTGTGGGATTTGCTTAAAAAAAAAATAATTTGACTACAGATTTTTGAAAAAATTGTAGTTGTTATAGTTCCATTATAGGTATACATTTAAACTTTTAAACTTTGTTTGAAAAAAAGAAATTAAGAAATAATGGCTATCCTCTCTAAAGGAAAGGGTTGATGATATTTTTTTTGTTTGGTTATGTTTCACGATAGTACTATGGTTGTAAAAAAAGCCATACACATTTGGAACTAATTTGGACTGATTTTAAAATGTTGCATTTTTTAGGTGTTTTTCTCAATTTTAAAGGGGAATGGGTAAATTTTTTAATTGGTTTGCCTTTAAAAGTACCTTTTGGGTACAATCTCTAATCTATAGAGATGCTACACAAAGAAATCTGTTCAGCGGTTTAGGAAATATCATGTTTCGAGAGTCCAGACACAAAAAACACAATCGTTGTAAAAACAATACTCTCTCAGCTTCGCATCAAAGCAAAAAACAGCAATTATATTATGCTGCTACTATATTTCTATTATCCTATATTGGCCAATTGTTATAAAATTGATAACGATATAATATTTCCTATACTTAAGAATCCATTGTCAAATAATAGGAAAATATATCTAAACCATAACCGCATATTACTTAATCATAATTCATCAAAACAAGTAACAAATTTACAATTGTCCGTTAATGTCGTTTTCAAATGTTCAATGTATAAAATCATAGCTTGCAAATTTTCGCTTTAGTGTGTGCATGATATAGCATGATGTGTTAAAAAAACCGAAGGTCATTACAAAGTCATAAGTTGACAATATTCTCAAATAAGGCATCATATTTTTGGTCTCTTTCACACACAAGTGTTTCGATATATTCTTTTCTAACCGCCATAGGTATTATTCGAATATATTTTAGGCAACGAAATAAAAATTTGCAATTTCACATAAACGTATAGTATCCACCAGAGAGCAAAATTCATGTTGAAAAAAAGCAAAAATAAAAAAAGCCTGTGGTGACGGAGCATAGTGGTGACGGGGCACGATCAGCTCTAAGCAAAGAAATATTTTTTATTATAATAGTTTGGAAAATAATGTCATAAGACGCCCTTAAACTTAAGACCATCCCTATGCACAACTTTGTGTTATTCAATTGTAGTCAATCGTTGACTTTGGTTCTACAAGTATTGAAAACAGTTAGTATTTTATTACAGTCGAATTCAACAGTATATTATAACACTTAATAATATGACTATTATTAAAATTATTCTTTTGCTTGGTCTGGCAGCATACGTGGAGTAAGTATTTTTTCTAATTATTTTTTAAAAGCGTTAGGGATTATTTTACAAAATCTGGAGTTTTCGTGTATTAATTTATGTTTTAAATATAAACATTTGCTTTTCAGATGTGGTGGTGGTGAGGTTCCACCAACAATAGGTAATAAAAAGATTTGATATAAAAAAAAAATTCAATGAGTTCGGGGATATAGTAGGGTCAAATCATATAGGCTTTATTATTATAGAATTATTTTCAACATATAAGGTGTCAACACTCATCTAAGCTATAAAAATCGAACTAAACTGTTATGTATTATTATTAATATTATTATTCAGACGGTATTACATTGAAGTTTCCGGATGATGATGACAACGGTACCCACTTTACATGGGCTGGTGAACCGAGTTTGCCACTTAACGAAGACAAGCCAATAAACATTGATGAAGTTTACTACGATCCAGTAAACGACGATTACATGGTTTATGTTAATGACAGTAGCATTAATGGCGTGCAGATTAGTGATGCAGGGGGTATGCTCAATAGTAACAATGCAGGTAAGTCTAATTTGATAATAAAGTACATTTTTACTAACCAAGAAATGTTAGGGAAACAAAAAACACTCCAGATAAAAATATCTTATTTTGAATTCCTCACAAATTCAACTAGTTTTGAAAAGCGATAGTTCCGTACTTTAAAATTAAAAAAAATTGTAAAAGATTTTTATAAAATAAAAACTCAATGAGGTCGGGCATAATAAGAGGGAAAGCATTTAGTGTCGTGGAGATAATAGGCTTTTTAGTTATTATTATTATTATGATCGAGTTTGAAGAAACCATATTTTCCACGGAAAACGGTTGTGTTTCATGATTATTTTTTGTGTGATATATTTTAATTGAAAAATAAAATTTTGAGTTGCGCCTTATTTAAATACTATATTTTATTTTAAATTATGTTTTAAATAAAAGTAGACTATTCATACAACCATAAATAGCTATATGTATAAATATATAATGATATAATTACTATTTTGACAGTTGTTAAATTTTTCAATAATGTTTAGTTTAACTAATATCCGTGATAAATTTCTTCGTTGTTATTCGTAGTTTTTTGTGTTCTACTTGACTGATTCGTATAATATAATTATTTATTATGAACCAGGTAATTTTGGGAAAAACAAATGTTTATTTTGATTCATCTGTTCATTTTTAAAAATAAATTTTTATGCTACGGAAACACAGTTAAACACACAGTTCTGTAGTTTAAATACTAAAAATGCTAATAATTCTTCAACATTTATGCGAAACGTTAAAAATAATTGTTATAAATTGGTAAACAAATTATGAATGATATTTTTAAATATTGGCAATGGCCAAATCGTTTTTAAGATTATATTATTAACATTTCAGACGAACTTACAGTAGAGTTTTCGGATGATGATGACAACGGGATGGGTGAACAGAGTAAACCAGCAAATTTCATTATGCCAATAAGCGAAGATAAGCCGAAAAGTAATATTTCCAACATATAACGTGTCTAACGTAAAATCAACCATGTTAAAACCAATACCCTCTCAGTCACGCATCGAAGATGAAAACAATTAAATTTAACTGTTTTATTTTATTATATAATTGAGTGATAGCTAATTCATTTTTCAGATTATATTATTAACATATCAGCCGAATCTACAGTAGTGTTTTCGGATGATGATGACAACGGGAGTAAACCAACAAATGAAATTATACCAACAAGCGAAGATAGCGATGATGAATTTTTCGATACAGTTGAAGAGCCTGATAGTAGTGGGGACGAGGATGTGCAGGATAACGATACAGAAATACTAAACGAAGATGGGCCAATTTTCGGAGTAGATACCGTTGAAGTTTACGACAGTGTTACGGTTTATAATAACAGTGGTTTTAAAGGTGTCATGGTAAATGATAATGGTGGTACGCAAGTCTTTAATCAGGGTAATGGAAGAGTGAACTACTATTAGGTATAATAGAGACAATAAAGAATAACAATTCAATGTATCTAAATTCGAAAACTACAAAATTGATTATATAAAAACAATTATAGACATTATAATTATAATAATATAAAAAACGAAAATAAAAGAATATAATTAAATCGTTTTTCATATAGTACTATATTTTAGTTGTGCAGAAATTATTCCTTAAATTCATAATATTTAATAAACCACACATCAAATTGTATATTTTTCACTTACAATAATGTATAGAATACAAAGTTTAATTAATTTAAAAACAAATTGTTAAAATCACTAATTTATCACAGCATACTCTACGATGCCTGTGGCAATGTAATCAATTAACTATAAAATATCTATTTAAATTTACTATATTTTTCATAAGCGCACAAAAGTGGAGATTTTTTTTATTAACAAATACTTGATATCGGATAAAACGGTCAGCTGTTTGTAAAATGATGCCAGTATAAAAAAATATATAATACAAAATCGCATGAACCGAATATAGTTTATAAAAAAACTATAATGCCCTTTAAAACTCAAGCGTTTGGTTTTGTTTTTCTTGTTAAAGGCTTACACTGAATGTGCACCTTTGCACGCTAGCTTTCTTATTATTTTCACGTACTGTGGCGGTATTTTGCAAATTTGAAATTTAAAAGCCACGCAAAAGTGACTTGTTGTAGTTTTTTTTTTACACTAAATATTCAATTTATTTGTACGTTTCTAACGGAATAGATTTTTAATGCTTGTTTCAATGTAAACAAGTAAAAACGGATATCTATCGAATATTCTAAAAAAAAAAAAAAAATATCAGAAAAATGAAAAACGATTACATTGTATTTTGCAATGAAATATTTACGATTTCTGTGGTTATATACAAAATTTGTATTTACATATCATTAAAAGATTCTTGTCTAGTACAAGTGGTTTTTGAGAATTTTTATTTTACAAAAAAAATCTATAGAAAAATATGTACAATAAGTTTTTTTCAAAATTATATCACAAAGCTTCAAGCACAACTTTGCTTGAAAAAGTAATAATGTGAAATGCATGCATTAATTACTGATATTTTTAAAAATAAATGAAATGGGTATGTGAGTATTATCAACCCACATACACAAATTTGTTTGACAGTATTGCTCAGTAGTCTTTTAAAATTAAAATAATAATATTTACTGTATAGCAGTTGCACTATAAAAAAA